AGAGGAGAGGAGAGGAGAGGAGAGGAGAGGAGAGAGAAGTATTTTTTATCCTCACACTTTCAATATAATGGTGACAAATATTTCTGATTCCCTCCCTCTTCAGATTCTTACCATCAATAATTGCTCTGGGCGTTGGTTGAAAATAAATTCCCAGTCTGATACCATGTAGAAAATGTTATGTTCTTTAATTGAGAACTTTAATCATAAATAAATGTTAAATGTCAACAAACATCTTTTAAAAAAAATACTTATTTATTTGAGAGGTAGAGTTACAGACAGTGAGAGGGAGAGACAGAGAGAAAGGTCTTCCTTCCGTTGGTTTACTCCCCAGATGGCTGCAACAGCCGGAGCTGTGCCGATCCGAAGCCAGGAGCCAGGAGCTTCTTCCAGATCTCCCATGTGGGTGCAGGGGCCCAAGCACTTGAGCCATCTTCAACTGCTTTCCCAGGCCAATGCAGAGAGCTGGATTGGAAGAGGAGCAGCCAAGACTAGAACCAGCAGTTAGGAAACAGAATGTTAGAAGTATGTGTAGCTTCGCTGTTTTCATTAGCAAGACTATGTAAGAAAGAGAAGAACCAAGAATTAGTAGATTGCAAAAGAAAGAATATTGAATAAGGTCAGCCCAGAAAGTTAGGATTTAGAGGGATTGGAAATGCCAACTGCTTATAAGCTCCAAATGGGAATAAGCAAAAATTTTAAAGCCTTTAAGTAAAAGAAGTCCACTAATATTTAGCCTTATGGAAAATATCATATTAAATTTGTAGCTTCTTTCCCCAAGTCTACTTCCCTCCAGGAAGATATTTTCAGTTGAAAGAGAAAAGTATGAGGGTAAGGAAGAAACAAAAAGAGAAAATGAGTTTGAGAATTATGTTTAAGTACTTTGGAATTTGTTTAGCTCTCTGCTGCTGTACAACAACAAATTATTACAAATTTGCCAACAGGGTCGACGTTGTGGTGTAACACAAAGCTACCCTTTGTGATGCCAGCATCCCATATGGGAGCTTGTTCAAGTCCCAGCTATTCCACTTTCCTATCCAGCCTCCTGCCTGGGAAAGCAACAGAGATGACCCACATGTTTGGCCCTTGCCACCCACTTGGGAAAGCCAAAACAATCTCCTGGCTCCTGACTTCCAACCAGCCCAGCCCTGGCTGTTGCGGTTCTTTGGGAGTGAGTCAATAGATGGAAGATTTCTCTCTGTCCCTCTCTCTCTCTGTAACTCTGTCTTTCAAATAAATAAATAAAATCTTTTTAATAAAAGAAATTTGCTGGCTTACAA